CTGCAGGGCCTCAGGGTTACTGAAACGGAAATAGGCACCGCCCTATGCGCCATATAGGCGCGGGAAGGATTTCACTTAACACAAGTGGGCAGGGTCGTAGGCTAACCAGATCTCCAGCGAGAAGGGCGCAAAATCAGTAATGATGAGGGAGGGATGCAGCTCCTGCTAAATGTGCATAATGTGTTGGGCTTGTGTGTGAAGAATGAGAGTTTCATGGGTGACTGCATGGCTATTTATACTAATTTTAGGGTTATCTACACTTATATTAGCTTTTATTTAATTTTTCTTAAAAAAAGTTGAGGGAGAGCAATGTCCCCCTGTGCCCTCCCCCCAACACAGGGACCATGGCTGTGGTGGACCAATGTGATTGGTACCTGTACTGGAACATAAAGTGACTGTGCTACATATAAATACACATGTGGCCCTGCTGGAATTTTCGTCATCTTGGTTGTAACTCGTGGTCGCTGGTCGTTGCAGAACGGCCGCTGGCTGACGCGAACACGGCGCAGGTGTGGTCGCTCTCAGCCTCTGACGTCGTCGACGACGACCTCATCGATGAGGATGCGCTGCTAGCCGAGGAAGATCTCGTGAAGCCCAACCCCTCCGACCTGAAGTGTGAGTCTACGGCACCGTCCAGGAGGGGCCGCTGCCAGAAATTCTAATATACTACCGATGAACGATTCCTTAAGCGATAATATTGCGTATCAGTGGCTGCATCATTTCTTTCAGCCTGCAGAAATGGGGGCCTTGCCAGAAATTCGAATGTACTATCGTGAACCATTTTTTGCCGCGGACAAAATGCAGCGTATAAACACCTGCATCACATGCCACGGTGTAACAACTTGAGATGAACTTGTATATTCTCTTGCCCTCCACAATCGCCACATCACTCACTGATCATGGTTTAAGTAATAAGGTATCGAGAGGTACAGTTCCTGAAAATTTGTGATTGATGGTTTTGATGCCCGATTCACTGATACCCAATTCCTGATCAATCCCACACATCTAACATGACGTAACACGTTTGTGCAGGCAACCACGTTGTGGTGTACATGCACCATTGGACTTGCTTATAACACGATGTGTTCTGTTTTCGGCAGTGCCAGAGTGTGGTCCTAATTCGGTGAAGAAGAAGGCATGCAAGAACTGCACGTGCGGGTTTGCAGACGAACTGGATGCGAAGGCAGAGGGCATGAAGCCAGCAGCAAAGGCTGCAACGTCAGCCTGTGGAAGTGTGAGTGTCTGCCTAGTCTACTGAAGCCCAGACCAGTCCACGATATAGAATAGAAGATTTCTGTATTCTATATCTATGGTTCCACGGCACATACTCAGTGACTCCGAGTCACTCTAGTCAGAGTCGGCACTGAAGAGAATATTCATTGTCAGTATATTGTGACTGAGACAGAAGCTTAGCTAGGTTTATCAAGCTTGTCTTCATCAGATTAGCTCTATCCGTGTACACTGTACGGTGTAGCCCTTCACTCTGTAACAGGAGTTTCTCTGCATGGCTGCAAGCGACAGCGACTCTGCGGCAATAAATACTAGCAGTGTCAACTTGTTTTTTTCAGATGGAGTATCAAGCACAGGGAGACAAAGTACTTCTAATCTGGGCAAGTGGAACTGACCCAGAGGCACTGAAAACAGTAGTACAACAGTTACAAAACTCTGTGGGTAGCCAAGGGCACGTCACTGTAGAAAATGATGAACGTTTGATCTTATGTTAGTATGAACATCAGATTTTTCATCTTCAAGCACCCATGCTATTATCTTGCGATGCTACATTGCAATCTTATTGTGCTGTATGTTTCCTGCTTCACATTTGCGTCCAGCACACGTCTACTGATTTAACCGGGTTATAGTTTTGCCATTCTATCGGCTTAGCCTCAGAACTTCACTGTGCCTAGACTGTTTAGGTGAATGGTGGGAGCATATTTGTTGTTTGAGGTTTAAAAACTAATCAACCGATCACTTGATGCCAGCTCAAAGCAGCAAGCAATCACAGGCATGCAGCAGTTTGTTCATTTTAGCGTGAGGTGATTTTTAACTGGCATCGAAATCTTTGTGTGGCAATTATCGTCGCAATCCGCTGACGCTGTAAAACAAATGCTCCTTTATGAGATCTGGCTGTGCGTGTATTTCAGCGAACCATGCTGCCTCAGCTTTCGACGTTCTTCTTTCGGGCATGGTGGGCTCTGTGGTTCCGGTGCACACTGACGAAACGTTGGCAGAGCTGGCACGTCTTCTCCGGCCCAGCGGCAAAATCGTCATGCGTCATCCGGTGTCAGAGATAGGTATGTACGACACAAGCAGAACTAGTTTGATGACAGTTGTATCTGTGTGTAGTTCGAATTCTGTTGTATTCAAATTTGGCATTTGTTTTTTTTTCAGAGCGGGAAAGTTTGATTACGAGGAGGAAGCTGAGTTCTATGCTGAAGTTGGCCGGATTTACATCAATCTCAGAGGTAATTGATTCTTATCTATAGTTAATATGTGGATTGTATATATTGAACAAACAATTTATTTGCTACATTTTTTCATTTTTAAAAGGTTGCCCTGTTTTTGTATCGTTTCTTTGGTGTGGTAATCCTTGATGGTGTGTCATTGTAGGTGAAACCCATAGCACTATCTACAGAGGACCACGCCGCACTACAGACTAGGTTGAAAACAGATGTGTCCCTCGAGCTTGTAGAGATTAGTGGAAAGAAGCCAAGCTATGAACTCGGCGCTCAGACCGCACTGTCTTTTGCTCTCAGTAAGTCCCATTGAATTCAGGCGTTGCACACAAGTGGCTGAACCGCAGCGATGGCTCAATGGTAGAGTGCTCGCCTCGCATGTGGAAGGTCGGGGGGTTCAACTCCAAAGACTTGAAAAATGGTACACACGGCTTCTCTGCTTAGCATTCAGCAAATAGAGATAGAGTGTGGCAAGTTAACTCACAATGCTACCAGTGGACTAACCCCCTACTGTAGCATTTACTGTGAAAGCAGCTGCATGGCCTCAGGGTTACTGAAACGGAAATAGGCACCGCCCTATGCGCCATATAGGCGCGGGAAGGATTTAACTTAACACAAGACAACAAGTGGGCAGGATCGTAGCCTAACCCTCGGCTCAGTAATGATGAGGGAGGGATGCAGCTCCCACTCAATAGGTGCGTTCACACTGGCGCGAATTAGCGGGCTGCAAAACCGGTTTTTGTCTGCTTCCGAAAAAACTGAGCTTTTTACAAGTTGTGAACGCAATTAGCTCACTAAACTCGCGCTCCAAAAGCGCCCGCTCTAAGACCACTTCCGACTGCGGCTAATTGCGAATCAGCCCCTTATTTTGCACCGCGCCTCGTGATATTTGCACGCGGCTGCGATTTAGCGAGATACTTCGCCTGTGCTGACAAACGACACAATAGCTCACTACTTATCCTCCGCTATGTCAGCGCGGCTGCACGCAGCCGGTTTTTCTTGTTTTGTGAACGTGCATGCCTAATGTGCATAATCATGTGTTGGCTTGTCGCTGTGATTAGAATCAGAGATTTCCATGCGGTGTTATCTGCTATCGCGCTTCTCTACTATCTAATTTAGGGTATCTCTACCACTTAATATTAGCTCTTTATTTAATTTTTCTTAAAAAAATTGAGGAGAGCAATGTCCCCCTGTTGCCCTCCCCCCAAACACAGGCCGACCAGGCTGTGGTGACCAATGTGATTGTACCTCGTACTGCGAACATAAAGTGACTGTGCTACATATAAATACACATGTGGCCCTGCTTGGAATTTTCGCATCTTGGTGTAACTCGTGGTCGCTGTCGTTGCCAGTGAACGGACCGCTGGCTGACGCGACACGGCGCAGGTGTGGTCGCTCTTCAGCCTCTGACGTCGTCGACGACGACCTCATCGATGAGGATGCGCTCTAGCCGAGGAAGATCTCGTGAAGCCCAACCCCTCCGACCTGAAGTGTGGAGTCTTACCGCACGTCCAGGAGGGTGCGCCCGCTGCCAGAAATTCTAAGATACTACGATATGAACGATTTCCTAAGCGAAATATGCGCCTATCAGTGGCCTGCATCATTTCTCTTCAGCCTGCCAGAAATGAGGGCCTTGCCAGAAATTAT